GATAGACGAGCGGCTGTTTAACCTGCCGCTCGGGCCGCTTCGGGCTGTTTAACCTGCCCGAACATTTGTTAATGCCAGCAAGAGATGATCTCCCTTCTGATGGGAGGAAACAGAAAACAACCATGGAAAAATCCCTTGATAAATGGCCTGTGCCGGCCTTGAAATGACTGCAATACTCCTTGGCGTGAAAGATGGGCCAAGAAAGATGAGCACATGCATGTTCCACTCGGGGAAAGACTTGGTCATGGATGGGTTTTCCAGTCATGGATTTGGTCATGGATGCGGTCATGGCTGAAACGAAGGTAATTCAAGTGCACTCCAGAATCCCGGCAGGGATGCTGTATAGTACATTGTGCACATTGTTATAGAGGTAATGTACTATGCAGCATTTCAGAGGGGATTCGGGATGCGATCGATCATGCATGTGCTCATCTTTCTTGGCCCATCTTTCACGCCAAGGAGTATTGCAGTCATTTCAAGGCCGGCACAGGCCATTTATCAAGGGATTTTTCCATGGTTGTTTTCTGTTTCCTCCCATCAGAAGGGAGATCATCTCTTGCTGGCATTAACAAATGTTCGGGCAGGTTAAACAGCCCGAAGCGGCCCGAGCGGCAGGTTAAACAGCCGCTCGTCTATCAAAGGCCGTGGCTCTTTCATGCTGTTCCAGACACTTAGCTATATCTCCAAGAGAGATTGACATTGCCATTTCTGTTACAGGAATGCTGTGCTAAGGAGGCCTAAGCTGAAGTGAAAGGCCTCACGAACCAAAGGAAAAAACACCACACGGACGACCCAAACAGGGACGGGCGGGCGGGCGCACGCTGAACAACAGAAACATAAGGAACTGAACCCAAGCACGCTATGTATATGGCCCTGAGGACACGGGCCATGGCGATGCTCGCCCAAGGGCCTTACGCCAGCTAACCCAGCTTCCACGACACAACGCAAGCCCGCATTCATAATGGGCTCAATGTTTGCGGTAAAGTTGAGGATAGAGTCCTGCTGAACGTTCTGGTCATCATCTAGGCTGCCGCCCCACTTCCCCGCACTTTACCCCCTCTCCTGCTCCATGTTCTTGGAAAGTTTTAGGCGAAAAGCTTTTACCTGCTGGCATTTACAAGCATGTGGGCTGTGTGGCTTTTCCAATGACTAAAACGGTTTTTTTCTTGCATTAGGCATCCCTATGGCATAGACACGTCGGTTACCGACCGTTTTGAACACTACTGAGGTTCGTTAACCAAACTGACCGACTAATGAAGACACGTTAACCGGTCAGTTGGGTAAACAATCCGTTGGGTAAATGGTCAGTTGGGTAAACAGTCAGGCAGGCTAAGTGGGTGGTGATCAGAATGGCTGTCTTGATCGCGAGGTAAATATGTAGTTACAGCAAACTAACCCATCTAGGCCATATGTGCATATCTGTCACCCCTTTCACCCAGTCAGGTCACGATATCGAACCCTAGGTCAAATCGTTTCAGCCGGGCGAGAAATTATGTTTGGACCGTTACACACGGCCACATGGACATGGCCAATCCTACAGGTCGGGGCCCCCCTGGGTGCTTCACGCTGGGGCCCCGCCCCAAAAGACCAGAAGATCGCCTGGGTAAACAATCAGAAACTTGTCAATAAACGGGTGGAAAAGACGATCCATAACGGCTTGAAAAGTCGCAGGAGCATTAGTCAAGCCGAAACTAATGACTGTATACTCGTAGTGACCAAAGGGGGTGCGAAAGGCAGCCTTCGGGTTGTCCGACTCAGCAATGCCGGATCTGGTTATTCCCCTGTTGAAGGTCAATCGAGCTAAAGTAAGCAGAACCGCGCAGCTTATCGAGCAAATCATCGACACGCGGCAAGGGATAACGATGATTCTTAATGGTCGTAGCGTTCAAACCCCGGTAATCGATGTACACATGCGTAGACTACCTACCATCTTTCTTACCCACAAACAGGATGGGTGCAGAGTACTGGGAAGTGCTAGGACGAATTATGATACCCTTCTTCAGCAAGTCGGTAACCTGGCGCTTGACTTCGTCCAGAGTTCCAGAGGGGTGCCAGAGGTGGTTCATCGGACGTGTCACGGGAGTCGTGCCAGGGGAATGCGATTGTCACAGCAGTGGACCCCGAACGGGTAGAGTGCAGCGCCCCTAGGAGCGCCTCCCGCACAACAAACTGTGGGCCTTATTCAGAGAGAACTCGGCCAGGCCGTACTAACTTCACTGGACACAAGGCCTCAGTTAGTACAGAGGGGTTCAAAGTGGTCCTAATCCTCTAATCCAGGGGGTGGGTACCGGTCAGCAATCCTCTAATCTCAACAGGGGTGGACCACTTCTAATCCCTAATCCAGAGTGGTGGTCTAATCCATATCCTAGGGTCGTGTTCTATTCCTAATCCTGTGGCCGGGTCCCAATCCCAATCCTGGGGGGGGATCCCAATCCTAATCCTGGGGCCGGACCGCAATCCTAACTCTGAGGCTGGGGTCCCAATCCTAATCCTCTTGGTCGTGTCGTAATCCTTATCGTGGAGCTGTTATCGTGTGACTGATTCGGTAAAACTTGGTTACTAAAACATTTGGTTAGTACGCTCATACAGAGAAGATGAGGCTCCGACGTGAGGCCCCCGACCTCATCATTGTACATCGGTAAACGGCAAACAACCTTGCCTGCGTCGTTTGACATATAAGAAAGGGTGGTGAATTGTGAGGCACGTGTTCCCAACGTTTTGGCAAGTTATCCCGTGCCGCAAAAGCAGTTAAACGAGCCCAAAAGTCAGAGATAACATCGTAAGTAGTGCGGTTCAGCTATGATGTAGATACGGCCATGTTGGCCTGGAGACCTTCCCTAAACAACAAACGGCGACAGAGATTGAGTGAGCTGTTGACCGCGAGCCAAACAACCTGCCACACACACCCTTGAATGGAGGCCGTTGGATTGCCCAACCACAAGTTAGCCCGGTTAAAAAGGTCTGGAAACTCTAGTTCATTCTGCAGAGCCTCATGAAGAGCCAAAACACGATAGTACAGTCCCAGAAATGATGCCGACGATCCCCACAAACCATGGGCACATGTGCCACAGGGACACGAAGCAGCAGGGACGCCTCTCTAGTGTTGCGCCCTATGCATAGGAGCGGAAGGGAATCATCAAGAGCCAAACAGCCGCCAAAGGGCTTCCTTATGTTCGTTATCCAACCGAAGTCGCCACATGCGCGACAGAGTACGACGGAAGTCCAACAAGGTGTTGGCCAAGTTGTCCGGCGATAAGACGATATTAACAGCATCCAAAATAAAATCCTCATGTTTTTGATCAAGCGTTTGTAAAGAAGGGTGAGCCGGCGCATGCGGGAGCACATGTGGACGTGCGTGGGAATTGACGCGAACGAAGCGAGGTTCCTGTATATAGGGGACTACATACTGATCGAATATCTTTTTTCTAATCTCAATCCCAACGCAGGCGATTCCACGACTACCACGTCCATATTACACATCCTGATCCACATGCTAGTTGTACAGGTATGGGGCCACGCACCCCCCAGCCATGTTGGCCCCATCACCACCACCACCACCCACACGCTCACCTGCCCACCCGCCCACACGCTCACCTGCCCACCCGCCCACACGCTCACCCGCCCACCCGCCCACCCGCCCACCCACCCACCCACCCACCCACCCACCCACCCACCCACCCACCCACCCACCCACCCACCCACCCACCCACCCACCCACCCACCCACCCACCCACCACGCACGCACGCACATGTTACTATGATGGAGAGGACCCGATCCTGTGCGACGACGTTTGTGGTGAATCGTCAGTGAGAGACCAATCGAAGGTAGGTCTGGAGGGTTGCCAGGGCGATGTGCTGCTGGTGAAGACATGTTACGGAACATACTTCTTGGGGCTTCGTTGTCTTTTTGGAGATGTGAAAGCTTGGCGTTTTAGGTCTGCGATGTGTGTGTGTGGTCCACATTGCAGGAACACAGCCAACTAGTCCAGATAAGGCCAAAACTGAACCGACGACGACGCGGAACAACTTCGGGAGAACACATAGACGGGTATGCACAGCACAGAGGCAACTGTGGGGCGGCACCGCCACCGCCACCGCCACCGCCACCGTGTGTGTGTATGTGTGTATGTGTGTGTGTATGTGTGTGTGTGTGTATGTGTGTGTGCGTGTGTGTGTGTATATGTGTGTGTGTGTGCGTGTGTGTGTGTGCGTGTGCGTGTGTGTGTGTGTTGGGGGCCAGGAAGGCGGCCTCTGGTATTTGGTTGTCGGATTACTTCCATTCTGCTCTCGCCTCTCGCCTCTTGCCTCCCGAACCGATGGAACGGAGTTGGGAGTCGGAGTCAGGCGTGGAGTTAGGGTTGGATGGGAATGGGTTGGTGGTGGTTTGCTGTTCGAGGTGGGCGTGAGCTCGCCTTTGAGAGGGCTTTGGTAGGGCTCAATTCTTGTGCGCCTTGTGTACTTTTGGCGGACAAGGTATTATTGCTACGGTGGGACATATTACCGCTGATGGTTGTTGTTTATGTGTGTGTGTGCTGGAACGCTGAGGAGGGACTATGCTGGGACGAGCGAATCGGGGGTTCTTTTGTTTGTCTAGTAGCTCCTCTCGCGTTTGTAGCACACCGCGTTCGAGCAGTTTTGTTTTGTTTTGTTTTGTTGCGCTTCATGACTGTTTTGTGACAGGTGCTATGTGACATTTTTCATTTTTTGTGTCGGAAACAAAAATTAGGGGGTAAAAACAAACGTATGCCTTTTTAAATTCACATAACGCAAATATAACCTAAGAGAGCAAAGTTGAACGGGTAAGCTGGCCAGGGCTGTTTAGGATGTGTGTGAGAGAAAGAGGGATTTTTGTACTTCATATGTGCCCTGCAGCATCTTTCTCGGATATCGTGCTGAGGACCTGTGCGGGTTGGCAACATGGCTTGGATTAGACAGCAAGGTAGCTATAACCTCCGCAACATGTGGAACGAAGTTATAGTTTGGCCGACTTTAACCCTGCTTTGCAACGTGACTTCCATTTGGGTCTGATTTGTGTAAGTCCCGTGTTGAAACCCTGTTGAAAAATCGCAAGTTGCAGGATGTCCTGCTTCTTAGGAGATGTCGAATCAGGGAGGTTCTGGTCCCGCGGGTCCGTGTCCCATACAGGATTCCGCGGAAGTGCGCTATTGTGCATATGTTTTCCGGTACATCAATCAAAACAACAAGCTAAATTTTGTGCAAAAGCTTATATTGTTCATGTCCAAGAAGAAACTGCTACGGCAGCAAGTTCATGTGGTCGGTATGTGATGCGGTGCTGACTTAGATTCGTACTTTGTGATAGCGTCTGTATGGATGGGCGCTGCAACCTTGGCCCAGGTATGGGAAAGTTGATCCATGTGCCGTGGTCAATCCAGACAATCTTAAGTAGCACTCGTACCTTTGCAGTATCTTTGCTTGTGTTGGCCCTTGCCAGCTTTGGTAGAATTTTGTAAAATAGCTAATTTCTTAACATTTGACGACGCAGGAGCAGTACATCTGTTCCGGGAAGAGACGATACCCTCTACAGTTTCAGTCGAAACTTGTGAATTCGTGGGAAGAGTTGCAATTGTCCTGTTTATCTTCCCTTGATGTGGACCATAGGGCATTATCGGGAGGTTTATGGCCGCTGTCGTTGAAAGCTGCGTCTGAAAGGTCCTTGAACATTTTTGGTGACCCAGCGTAATTGCAAGCTACTGAACATCTTGTAACCATGGGGAGTTTTGCCAGTACTCACAAAGCTCGGGCGGATAAGGCTACCACAAAGCCAGAGGCAAGCGAAACCTTGTCGACTGCGACCGCACCGACGGGTAAGCACTCACCTGGCTTTTACTTCATCACGAACATCGAGTGTCAGGGGACACTGTTGAGAACAAATCCTATCCTAACTGCCGGGCGACGGGCTGTGGCCTCGTCGGCTGATGCCAACCTGCAGCTGCATCGCCAACGGAGGATGTGAAAATGGATGAAACAGCCGACTCCTTTGGCAAGGGTGATTCCATTACGGAAGGACAGTTGGAAAGTCTTCGCGTTAAGGACCCTCAGGTGAGTCTTGGTGCTTTGAGGATTTAATTAGCTCAATAATTGATTTCTGACGATGCTACTTTGCTCAAGGCAACTCAAACTTGACGGTGTCGGCACTGGGTAGATGCTAGCCGGTGTGTGCGTACCTCAGGACAAGGGATCAGCTTCGTCGTTGTACTCGCGCCTCGTCTGAAACGATTCTCGAGTTGCATGGCAGCTCGCAACACACGTCTTGTTGGCCCTCAATCAAACACGTTTGGCTCGCAATTTTGCCGCCATGTGCACGTGTTTCCCTCTCCCTTCTCCCGCGTTAATGTCCTATCACAGCTCAGCACAAAACGTGTGGCAATGCTATAATTGCACCACCCAAGTATGCGGATGCGGTTTTCGATTATCGGGTTCTTTGGAGTGGGTCCATCGACATTACACAAGAGTACAGACTTGCACATATGTGGTCGATAAGCCAATTTCGTTGCGTCGACCTGGCTTCGTTTAGAGCGGCTCAGCTAGACTCTCAAAGCTTGTTTGCCCTGACCCAGCCACCCAACGTTCTGCTGTCAATTAACTTTGTTACTTGTTACAACTAAAAACATGACACGGATTTTCCGCCTTTATTTATTTGCCTGGAACCTGCCGTTGCACCCTTTCGTGTCATCTGCACGCCCGGACGCAATATGACCCATCTCACAGGCCTGGAAGGGAAACGCCTCCCCGCGCCCGCGGTCCGCGCTAAAGCACGGGAGCAGTACGGCGTCGTACGGCGCAGATAGCGAGTCGTCGGGGGGTGTTGTGGAGCGCACACCTTCGGGCCGCCGAATGCCCCGCAAGGTTTCCTTTCAGGTAGGCCTCCTCTCTCTCTTCTCTGGCTTCCTCCTCTCTGTGTGTTTGTGTGCGTGTGTGTGTATGTGTTTATCTGTCTGTCTGTACGTGTGTATGTCTGTACATGTGTACATGTGGTGTTTCTTGCCAATTCCGAGGCGCACGAGAGGCGTTTTGTGCGTGTATGTCGTACAGTTTTCTGCAAAGATCAACGTCGTTACATATTTTCATCAATTCGTAAAAAGATGCCATTTGCTTACATACATACATACATATATACATACATACATACATACATACGCACACAGGTTCAAGGTCTGGGTAGTCCCCAAGAGCTCGGCGGATCCTCGGCTGCCGGAGGCGGCAGTGAGGCCGGGGAGGGCGTGCCGGCGCACAAACGAGTGAAGGGGAGCGAGGAATTTTCGATGAGGTTCCTGGTGGAGAAGTTTTACGGCAAGGTACGGTAATGTCGTACCGATGCCGTACGGCTCAGCGGAATGGGTATTTAGGACGAAGTGGAAGGGTCCGAGCTTCTTCTCGTGTGGGGTGACGCGACATCATGTTGCGCGGTGGAATGGGGGAAAATGTCGATAAGGCAGCCGAGTTCGGAGCGGATTCCCATGACGATTTTTCGAGAAGAAAGGGAAAGAGAGTGGGGATGGAAGAGTGTACGGAACTTGATTATGAGGGGGGTGGGGGAAAGCGTGGCCTCGGGGGTTAGCGGCGGCCGCAGGGAGGTGGCCACGTCACCCACGCCCTTGCTTGCCCTTGTCGTACATATCTCGTACACACCTCTTCTTGGTATACATTCCCTTTCACCGTCCCCCGTTAACCCACATGGGCGCACACGCTTATTGACTTCCGTACATACACACACGCGCCGTTCCCCACCTCCCCGTCCCCAAACCCCAGGTGTTGGCACTGAAGGAGCTTCAGCCCTTTTTTGATGGGGTAGATATGTTTAAGGTTGGTGTGTAGGGGGGGGAATAGGGGGGACAGGGGGGGCCGGAGGGAAGCACATTCAAAAAAGTTGCATACATACATACATTTCCCCTCGTTGCCATTTCCGTAATCGGCGCTGAGATCATTAAAGGACAGACAGACACACAGACAGACAGACTCACACACACATTTAAGTATGGGAGAGGGTGGAGGGAGAGAGAGGGCCAGTACTTGCCATGTCTCTATTAACATCAATGGCATATACCATTGCTATACCAATACATGGCGTTAGAGGAATGACAATTGCATCTCTTAACCCCCTTCACCCCCTCGTAATGAATATGTACATTGTACGACACTCGATGTTGACATGCTGACGTACATACACACCCACACAAATACACACGTGGTTGTGTATTGCTTGTGTGTGCAGCTCAAGAACCAGCAGGAGGCGCTGATGCTGCTGGTGTTTGGGGGAAATGAGTTGTTGGAGGTGAGAAGTGGTGGGAGAAGGCATCCTGGTCCAGGTCCCATCCCCGATTTTGGACGGCTTTACTAACATCATTGCCTCCGTAGAAGTCCACCACCACCACCATTACCACCAATACCGCCCCTCCTCACCACCACCGCACGCGCACTCTCCCCCTCCCCTTTCCCATCAGCCGCAGCAGTCTTTCCTCCTTGGCATCAGCTTCACTCGCTCGTGGTTCGTCTTTTCCCCCCTTTCCTCCCTTACTTCTAAACAGCAGCGATTCATTTTTTTTACTTCCAAACAGCAGCGATTCATTTTTTTTACTTCCAAACAGCAGCGATTCATTTTTTTTACTTCCAAACAAGTAACGTCTGGTATTGAGTTGATCGCACAAAGCGTACGAACAAGTGTAGGATATAATACGACATTTCCGCCCTTGCGCCGTAGGACGAGCTTCCAGGTTTATCTGCCGACCTCCGTCTGATCCACTTGCACCTCCTTTTTGAGGGCCTCAATTTGTCACATTGGCAAATATTTGCAGACACTTTTGGCCAGGTGAGGGTGGTGGGGGTATTGGAGGAGAGAAAAACCGCGCCTGGTCTCACTCCTTCCTCGGTCATATGTACGGCGATATGTACACGGCCATGGTGGTTATTCTGTACGATTACATGCACGTAGCCACACACCCTCTCTGCGTCACATATGTATATAACATGTATGTATGTATGTATGTAACGTGTATGTATGTATGTATATATGTGTGCAGACTTTGGACGAGCTTCCCCAGATCCCCGAGGATGTGAAGCAGCGGGCCAAGGACTACATGGCAACTACCAAACACCACTTCAGACCCATTGAGCCGGAGGAGTGGCCGCCGAAGGTGCGTGTGCTTGGGGGGAGGGAGGGGAAAGGTGGGGGGAGAAAAAAAGGGGGAACAGGGGGGTTGAGAGGTCGCGCCGGGGAGAGGCGCTGTGTGTGTGTGTGTTTTGATGATTTGAGGCTCTGTATGGCATTGTCGTATCCAACGTACCGCCCTTAACAAAACTCCTGTCTCCCATGTCTGTCTGTCTGTCCGTCTGTACCTCCGTCTGTCTATCTGTCTGTCTGCCAGGTGGTGTACAAGGGCTGGACGAAACGCAGCTGCCCTTTTCATTCCTCATTTAAGCGCCCGTCGGCCGTTCAGACGACTTCTTCTTCTGCAGTGCCGCCGTCGGCAGGAGCACCAGCACCAGCCGCAGGAGCTTGTTGTGGGGGGGCGGGGTTGACGACGAATGGACTACTACAGCATCAAGAACAACATCACCACCATCAACAGAAAGCCGACGGTGATGATGATGACGGCGATGATGACGACGACGAGTTCATCTTGCCGGGAATTAACAGCCCCTTGCCAGTGGTGCCTGGGCAGGATGTCTCGGCCTCGGAAGCCGCGGGGAACTCCGCGAATACGTCACAACCTGTGTCTTAAATGTAATGGGATGCATGGTGAGGTCGTGAGGTAGTGGGGTGAAGGGTGGGGGTGTCGCGTAACGCCTGTGGCGGTAGGTAATACTACTACTTCTCGGACGTTACGCTTGTTAGCTGTTGTACTGTTGCTACTAGAACATTACTACTGATAGTGGTATTGTTAGCAGCATCACCAGCAGTAGTAACAGCAATAGCAGCAGTAGTAACAGCAGTAATGATACTGTTGATAGTAATGATGATGGAGTAGAGTGGTACTCGTTTTTGTGCATGTGTGTACGTGTACGGCGGGGTGTCTCGCATATGCTTAGCTACTGCTGCTGTTGCTGCTGTGGTTGTTAGAGGAGTGCCCCTTGTTGGCCAGCAGCAGGTGGTGACGGTGTTCCTTTTTGTGTCTTATCTGTGAGGCGGTTAAGAGGATGGCAGTACCGTACCAGTTTGTAAACGCCGCTGGCTTGGGGTGTATGTATGACTTAGATTACACTGTGGGCCGCGAGAGCCGGGGGCCGAAGCCGAAACACAGCGCAAGGCTTGGGGTGTATGTATGTATGTACCTATGTATGTACGTATGTATGCATGTGTTTGTGTGTGTGTAGATGTGAAGTGGGTGAGGGACCCCCTCAGAGCACAGAACGACAGCTTTGTCTTGAATATCAATTGCTTTGATCTAAAACCATAGCCGTTTCTGTCAGCTATGGGGATACAAGCAACTGGTTCTAAATTCAGTTGTGTGTGTGTGGGGGGGGGGAACAAGAGTTAGGCTGTAGGGAGGAGAAGGAGAGGAGAATGCGCGCAGGGCGCGGGTGGCTGGGGCGGTGAAGCGGGCGGCACAGGAAGGGGAACAGTGGTACATACTCTAGCTGCTGCCCTCGTCGCTGACGTGCGCCAATTACATGCCTATTTGCGGCAACTGACAACTTGCTAATGATGCAGCAATGATTATAATTAATGAACGCCAAGACTGGATCAAGGCCCCCGACACGGAGTCAAGTCGCAGGACAGGCCCCAGGGGACTTGATGGCGTATCTCAATTGTGTCGTGTGTATGCATGTATGCATATGTATGTATGCATGTATGCGCTTGAATGCATATGTATGTATCTCATGTATGCGCTTGAATGCATATGTATGTATGCGTGTTCACAACTGAGCCGCGTGCGTGCGGGTGTGCGCGCGTGTGTGTGTGTGTGTGTTTAAGGTGCGCGTCGAAATGTATGTATGTATGTATGTATGTGTATGCAGAGTTTTGGAAATGTGGATGGGCCCCTATACCCCCCGCTTCCACCATTCTCCTTCCCGCCCTCACTCCTACCTCCCGCAGCCCTACCCCCCCGGACACCTAATCGGCTGGTGGCCCATGTAGGCGCTGGTTGCTGCCGGTGCCGCCTTGTTACTGTTACGGCCTGAGGCCTGATAGTGAAGGAGAGGGATTGTGTTCGTTGATTACCGTTCCCAACGTATGTGTGTCTGTCTGTGTGTTGGGCCCCGGGCGGTTTGTCGGAGTTGTTCAGCCCCATCTGTTGACTAGCTATCGTAGTCCTTGTCATTGTCCCTAAAGGCCTCTCTCCCTCTCTCTGGGCACCTTTTTGTGTGCAAGTCTTGTGTCTCGACTTGAAAATGGTAAGAGAGAAATTATTGCGACGACAGAACCATGTTACAATTTGGGGCCAAGCGGCTTTTGGCGCCTTTTGCCATCTTGTGGTGGTGGTGGTGGTGGTGGTGGTATCAACGGAGTTGGCCACTCCAGGAGGGCTGCGGGGCCCCCCCGGGCCCTTTACTACTAACCCTATCTGCCCCTGTTTCAGATGTTTTGCCGATTTGGGATCTTGTCATAAAAACATCTACATGTCTGCAGCAGAGTCATTCTCAAACATCATCATCATCGCCACCACCGTCGTCGTCGTCCTCGCCATCGTCATCATCGTCGCTAATTTTTTCACGGGATGCAAGATCATTCTCAAAAACGTTCCCAGATCACTGTTTGGGGGCCTGTCAGGGCGGGCTCCGTCACTAATTTTCCCTTCTTCCTCTTCAAGAGAGAGAGAACTCAGGGCTCAACCTCTGCTGCTCCCTTTCCAGGTACGGTGTGTTTTGTTGTTCTACACTTATGGGTAAAGGAAAGGTTCCAAGAGGCCAAACAGCTCCTCCTCGGTCGCCATGGCACCACCCCGGAGTCCCATCCTTCATACCCCTGCCCCACACCCCACACACCCCACCACACAAAAAACACAGGTAAAAAAGGAAAACACAACCCTGGCGAATCCCTTCGTACTTCGTCTTCCCCCCAAGCAGCCAAACATCATATCCCAACAAATCCATCCAAAGCCAAGCCCACACAGCACACATACACACCGCCGCTCCTAAATAATTACTCCGCACCCTCCGCGTCCTCCTGGCCCTCAACGTACCCCTCGCCTGCCGCCGCCGTCGCGTACGACTCGCCGTACATCCCATCCATCGCCGCCGCCCGCTGAGCTCGCAATTCCGCGACCCGCTTACGTGCCAAGTAGCCCCGCATGTGCGACTGCACCATCACTGTCGCCTCCGCCGCCATGTCGTCCGTCACACCCTCCGGCAAGTCAATACCCAACGTGCTGAATGCGCCTCCGCCGCCACTGGCACTGGCCTCCCCCAGCTCGGCTCCCGCTGCATCAAGGCCCCTCAGCGCCGCCTCCGCCTCGCGCTGCAATCGCTCAGCCTCAGCTTCCGCGCGGATGACCGCCACCTCTCGTCGCGCGTGGTAGCCTCGGTAAGCTGCCTGTACCTTAGTCGCCGCTGCATCCAGCGCAGCGGGGTCGGGCTCCGGCTTCGCTAGCGGCGGCGCCGCTGCCGTCAACGAAGGTCGCCGGCCGCCAGATCCAGGCCTTGTCGCCGATGTTGGTCGCGCAGAAGACGGCCGGGAGCCTGACGGAGCCGGTGGCGCCGCCGCCGCCGCAGGCGGCGGTGTCGGCGTGCGCGTTGCCGCAGCCGGCGGAGCCGGTGGCGGCGTTGGAGTGCGGGCCGCAGCCGGTGGAGCCGGCGGCGGCGGCGGCGGCGCCGCCGCGGCCACCTCCACTACCCCCGAGCCAGCGACGGGCCGTGCGTTAACAAAATCCGCTTCATCGTCCTCATCGTCGCCCATGAGCGCGGGATCCCACTCATCGGGCAACAGCACCTTGGGCTTGTTGGGGTTGTTTTGAAGGAGGTAGCTGGCAATGAAGGTGATGGCCTCGAACTTGTCCGCGGAAGGCTTCTCCCGCGCCAGCGCCGCTAGGGCCTTGGACAGCGCGGGCTGAATGCGTGTGGCGATGTAATCGGCCGCCACGGCGGGATCCGTCACGGGGTCCGGCACCAGGTGGGGGAAGAAGAACTTTATCTCCCGGGCTGCGCTGGCGGGCGAGTCGCTGCCGTGGGTTGCGTTTTGGGTACCGTCTGTGCCGTACAGGGCGCGGAGGCTGAGGACAGCGGTAGGGCGGGGAAGGAGGCAAGGACGGTGGGTTTAGTGGGGGAGATTGTGAAAGGAAAAGAAAAGGTTTGTTATGATGTTTCTCCTTACCACAGCAGGGGTAAGGGATTGCAGCTCCCAGTGCCAGCGCGGGGCAGGGCTGGTGTGGGCGCAGGTGCAGGTGGCCCAGAGAGAGGGCTCTCAGGTAGTGGATGTCTGGATGTCTGTCTGGTGCCGCTTTGGTTTTGAAAGGGTCAAACGGTGAAGTGTCCCGCCTTGAAACCTAGCTTGCCATTCCCCTTTTCAGGCCCATAACATCCGATGTGCTTCCTCCTTACCATTTGGGTTGCTCAGCACGGGCTTTGAAAACGTTTGTGGGCCCCATCAGGGCGCGCCACGCCAGGATGGCTCCAGGCTTGGCGAGCACCAGGGCCCAGATGGGACCGCTCGTCATAAAGCCCACCAGCTTGGGAAAGAATTCTTTCCCATAATGCTCCCCATAGAACTCCTCCGCGCGTGCGCGTGTCAGCTGCGCAGGGAGCATGCCGCGGGGGTACCCAATCCCGTACAGCTTAGAATTGCTGACGAAACCTTACAATTACATACATTGCTTGGAGTTTAGATTGATCTATGCGAAGCGGGCATTGGGTGCTGCGTAAGCTGTCAAAGACGGAGCATGTTCTTTTGCAAAGGGCAAGCTTCACGGAAAGACATGCCAAGGCAAACATTTATCACCGTATATCTTACCTGCAACTTTTGCTTTGCTACAATCGTGAACCCATTAAGCTCGATGAGTTGCATAATCTCCTGAGCCTTGCCTGCCCGAACAGAATCGGGCTTTAAGAGAGCTAGCGTTTTCTCTACGTCTGTCATCGTTGTAAGCTTCTATGTTCAAGCGAGGGTAACTGTCGAAAAGTGCGGTAGGTGAAGTATGTATTGAGGCAAACTGTTAACTACATGCGCTCCAATGTAATAAGGCATAAGATTTAGTAGAAATAAGCAGTTAACACTTGCTGGGGAGACAAGGAACTCGTGTGTGTCGAAGTCCCTGCGAACACACGCGACCCTCCTGGAGCCAACAAGAATTTTGATCGTCGCTCTTGCCCCACATCGGTCGCTAAATCAATCCATCATTACTGTAATGTTGCTCTTTGCTTGACGTCAACAAGTATTTGCAAAATCGTGCTTGCATCATCGTTAATTTGGAATTTACAATTACGACGACTACTGCCGCTGTGTCCTTGGACAGCGGTTCATTTGTCGCTGCTCCTGACTAGCTTAAAGAAATGGGAAAGAATGATTTCCTTACCCCCAAAGCGGTAGGTGTTCTTCTTGGCACATTACTTCTTCGGTTCAGGTTACTTTAGCGTGCCCTAGAGCCTCCATGTGTTGTGAGATTATCATGGCTCATATATGCGCGCGCAGATTGCAAATAGAATCAAGGCAAAGGGCTTGCAGAAGCTTCGCTGGTACTGCCAGCTCTGTCAGAAGCAGTGCCGCGATGAAAACGGCTTCAAATGTCATCAGACCAGCGAGGGGCACAAGCGGCAGATGGAGCTGTTTGGGATGAACCCGCATCGCGTGGTGGAGGGCTACTCGGAGGAGTTTGAAAAGGCCTTCATGGAGCACCTGCGACGCGCGTAAGCAGGAATCCGCAGTGGCCTCCCGTTAAACGCGAGCCTTGAAACACGCAAGATTACAAGCGCAGAGGGTAACTGCGCTGCCCGATCGCGGCCATCTCATTCCCGCAACCATTACCAAGAAGTAAATTGTTGCATAGAAAAATAGATGGCGACCACCCTGGATGGGTGGGTGGTTCCCACAGGGGTAGGTGGCGGCACAAGTGAACTGCGTGGCAGTAACTGCGGTTCGTCTTAACCCCCCCCTTTTTACCTTCCCTCTCCCTCCCTCCCTCTCCCTCCCTCTCTGTCCCGCTCCCGCTCCCTCTTTCCCCCCCGTACCCTCCGCTACCAGACACCCCTTTTCCCGCGTGTTGGCCAAGAACGTGTATAACGAGTACATCACTGACCGCCACCACGTTCATATGAACTCGACTCGCTGGCTCACGCTCACGGAGTTCGTCAAGTACCTGGGGAAAAGCGGTGGGAGGGGGGTGCGGGGAGGGGGGAGGAGAGGAGAGGTGGGAAGGGGGGAGGGGAGGGATGTGGTGTGAAG